CATCAATTTCTTCGTCTCGATCGGCCTGGGAGGGCTGACGGACGGGCTTCGAACTCACTTGAAGAACTACCAGAAACGCCTGGTCGAGGAAGCGCAGGTACGTCCTTCGCCTCTGTCTCTCCCTCCCTACGCCTCTCTCCCTTCCTATTTCCTTCAATCGATGGCGCGTGTGAGTGTTTTTGGAGGGCGAAAGGGGGTACTCGAGGCAGAAAGGTTCACGAGGACAGATGAGGAGGGGAAAGAGGACAGGGAGGGAAGGGAGGGAAGGGAGGAGAAGGAGGAAAGGGGAGAAAGAGAGAGCTGTTCAAAGGCACGACTCAGCCTTGATCCTATTGCAGGCAGCGGCACTGCGACAAGCAGAAGAGAGCAGCGACAGCGACAGCAGCAGCAGCAGCAGCAGCAGTAGCAGTAGTAGTGACAGCAGTTCGACTTCATCTTCCTCCTCGTCCTCGACCTCCTCCTCCAGTAGCTCGGAGAGTGAGAGCGATTGAGTGGAGAGAGCAGAGCGGGCGCAGCGAGGCCGAGAAATGTCGGCGATAGGAAGAAAGGAGGCTGGGGTCCTCCATCAGTGCCGACAGAGACTTGAAAGGCTCTCCTGGGGAAACCGAAAGAAGCCCGGGGCAGGGACTGCTAGTGAATTTATGGGGAGCAATGTGAAGAAGGGGGCATTAAGGAGGGGAAGAAGGGAGGGAGAGGGGGAGTGAAAGCCAGTGACAGCGGAGAAGGAGACTGGTGACGGCGAAAGTCGAGATGAAATGCCCCGTCGAAGGAGGGAAGGCATCGGAAAAGAGGCCTCTTAGGCCAGCGCGTCGGACGAGAGTTGCCACGTAAAAATGGCGCGAAAAAAGGAAAGCGATCCACTAGCCGTGAGAGAAAAAAAAAAAAAAAAAGCAATAAAAAGGCGCCGACTGGCCTCCCTCTTCCCACGATCACGCTTCGTACATTTCAAGAACAATTCAACTCGCTTGGCTTCGAAAAGCTTGCTCACTACAGAAAACAGGACTTCTCCCCCTACTTTCTCTTCACTCCGCCCTCCCTCCACAGGACTACTCCCGTCTCTCACTCGGACCCGAGCTCTTTGGGAGAACCGTCCACACAGCCCTCCCTCCCTTCCTCCCTCCCTATCTCCTGCCCTCCCTGCCCGCCTGTCTCGATCCAACGTCCTTGTTCACTTGCCCTGAAAGCACTACGATGCATCCTCCTCTTTCCTCCTTTTCCTCCCTCTCTCATGTCTCTCCTCGAGTGTACCTAGAGCTCTCCCAAGAGCACATCCGCGGCCGAGGTCGAGAGTCCTCCCCCTCCCTCCAAGTGCAGCTTCTTCACCACGCCGTCCTCGACCTGGGGGAAGGGAGGAAGGGAGGGAGGGAGGGAGGGAGAGAGGGAGAGAGGGAGGAAAAATGGGGAAAAAGGGCGCTTAGTTTTGACGCGAAAGCAAGCAGCTGCACACAGGTGTCAAGGAAAGGGGAAGGGAGAGACACTCGACGCGGAGCCAGGAGAAAAGCATGGCGAGGAATGTGGGCGAGGAGGGAGGGAGGAAAAGGAAGAAAAGGAAGAAGTGAGAGAGGGAGGGACGGAGGGAGGGAGGGCACCTACCAACGCAGACATCCTTTGCAAGCGCAGGCCTCCGAAGTCGCCCGTATCGAAGCCTAACCCCGCT